TGCGAAATAAATACTCCTTGGTGTAATGCGACGATGTCAGACGACTGGCTCGGTTGTGATCAATCAAAACCATTACTTAACGAAGAAATCACGTACCTAAAAGAAAATGTAAAGGAAGTCAACGTAGTTGAGAACTACAGTCGAACCTCTATTAAGCGGACCTCTATTAAGTGGACACCCTCTATTCAACGGACATTTGTTTAAGTCCCGAATTTTTCCCCTAATGTTTACTGTAAATCTGACCTCTATTAAGCGGTCACCTCTATTAAGCGGACGCGGACACCATATGGACGTCCCAATTGGTAAACTTCCATTGTATTTCACCTCTATTAAGCGGACAGCTAAAAACTGACTGCCTACAAATTTGGTGTATTATGACACGAATCAGACAAATTTCGATAAAAGATTAACTTTATTGGATTATTGAAGAAATTCTTTCTTGATTAACTTAGCCTTTAACCACTTTGTTGAGAAACTGTCACCCTCGAAGTTATATTCACATGGAATCTCAAGTCCAAAACCACCACCTCTGTTGACCCGTTTTCCCTTGATGACTACTTTTCCACAGTTGGTAGGYCTCTTTAGGAACTTRCTTACCCATATAGCCATTAGTTTCGGAATATGACCAATAACTTCGAATTTGTCAGTGACATTGTTTGGATGGGAATTAGCAGTTGATGTCGAAGGTGGCGCTACTTCTCCGGATTTTTCTTTTACGACGGCTACAGCATTCGAGTCTTTGACATTGTCTGGTTCACGCATGAGTTTATAAACATCGCCCAGCGTCGGTTCCCATTCATCCTGGTATTCATGATATCCAGGAATAAATGAGTTTACATTGATAATTTCTTGAGCCATTGTACTGTTGTGTAGTTGATATCGAAAAGGAGACACAATAAGTAAGCGCAACCCGTAGAAACGAATTAGCATAATTTTGTTTTATTAGGTGTGCAATTAGCGTATTCAGATCCCAGACAAGATAACGGTTAATGGATAATAAACGCGACAAAAGTACATGTACTCAAATACAGTAAATTCACATGAATGCATTAGTCTTGATTCTGTGCTTTAAGTATTGCAGTGTAAATCAGTGAAAGCAAATCTTCCTGATGTCTTCAGTGCGGTTTTGTACAAACTGTAAAGCCGAGACTAAATATAGTTGTTTAATCTGTCAAACGTCTGTGTGCAACAGACCAGAGTGTTCTTTGTTTTTGCCTGAGGAAACACCGGGCTGGAAACCTGGTGCTTGTGTCTCGAGTTGTTTACCCTGTAACGAACGCACGAATACAGAAACTAGCAAAGATTCCAAAGATAAAGAAGGCAGCAAAAAAGGGAAATTTCCACTGATACGAAACAAGGACACTGGAAAGAGAAATTGTTTAAGCTTAAAACAAAAAGTTGACTTAATTGAATATGCCAAGAATCACCCAAACAAGGGCTGTCGCAAAGTCGCGGAACAATTTCGCATTGGTAGAACTCAAACGCACAAAATCTTGAAGAACAAAGCAGAGATTCTCGCTCAATATGAAAAAAATGAGCAATCTAACCGGCAAAAAAGAGTTCGCACAGCGACGTACGAGGAAGTGAACAAAACTTTGTGGGACTGGTATAAATTATGCAGAGGATCAAACATACCAGTCAGTGGTCCT